GCTTGGCTTGTTGCTCAGGGGTGAGCTCAGCTTGGCCCAATAGCTCGTGAACTCACGAGCCACGAGCTTGGGGGCCGGGCCGAACCGAGCCGAGCCCACGAACCATTCGCGAGCTCGTGATTTGTATAATTTTTTTTCCTTTTTGGTAAATTTGCACTTTTTTTAGTTTTTTTTGGTAAATTCGCCTATTTTTTGACTGGGCTCGTAAAAAATGGCTCGTGGACGTTCGTGGGATTGAGACCTAAATGAAGAGCCGACGAGCTGCTTGGCCCGTTTGACGTCCCTAGCGTGACATGAGCTAATTAAATTCACATACAACTACAAAACTGAAAAGGTGTGGACTAATTAAATTCACATACAATTACAACCAATTTAATGCATTCTGGTTATATGAATTCCGTCTAGGAATAGCTAAATAACGATTTCACATGTTACGACATATTTATCTTAATTGTTGCATGGCAGCCATGCTTCACACCTCCCAGTTGTTAAAACGGCACCCAAAATTTATCACAACACTCGCTATCAGAATCCAGCATGCAAGCGCCCCAGTGGCAATAATTGGCACTGCCAACACTTCAACGTAGAGGGGAACTTTCGTGGTTTTCAAAGAGAGGTAGGGTGGGGTGTGAAAGAATTGGGAGTAACGGCACAATTTAAAAGGAAATCTCCCTTTTTTAGCATTATTAAATCCCCAATTTTTTAATGGAGTCTCGCTATAATAATAATAAACTAAAACAACAAAAGGAAAATAATTGTAAATGGAGTCTCGCTATTTTTCAATGAAACAATGCTATTCGTAATCGCTCGTTACGGCAATCCTCCTGTCTAATATACATATGATAAGTGATTATTTGATATATTAATGTGATAGTTTTTAATTGACTCATTTATCAAATAGACACATGCCACGTGGTGGTAAAAACAAATTTCACTAAATATTATTATTAAAATATTAAATTCCCTTATGTGGAGGTTGACTCTGACTTTTCCAAGACTATATGATTTACATGAGTTGTGTCACCCATCAGAATTCTTAAAAAGGTACAAACAAATTCCACTGCAAATGGTAAACAAATATATCCCTTCTCTGGATGTTGACACACTTTTTCCAAGACTATGATTTGAAAATTAAAAGTTTTTGTCACCCAGATAAACACGTGTACGAGTTTTCTTCTTATCCGACAACAAAAGAAATCTAGAGAGTATCATCTAACGTTACCCACTAATCATAACTCTTTGGAAGAAGTCTCCCTCACAGATATCCATAATGGAGTCGGCCCCATATATATATTTTTCTTGTACAACCTGAATTGACAATGTACTCACAGGAGGGGATCCACGATTTTTATATTTTTTAGCGTGGGCCCCTCCCATGTGTCTAACTATCAACCTGGGTTGTCAACTCCAGTTGTACATGTAGCACAACAATTTTCTGTCACATTAGTTTAATTCGAACTTTTTCACCTTATAGGCTCCAATATATTTTCATGCCTTAATTTTGTGAATTTTTTATCGGTCTCTTAATCTATAAAAAAATAGATCCAATAAAGAGATAGAATCAGCAACAACAGTCAAATATTACAATAAAACTAAAGGGGAAGGCCAAATCCAGAGGGGCGTCGTCCAAACAGCACCTTTCCAAATATAAAGATGGATATTGCAGTATGAGAGCGTTCCCACACCCCCACTGCCACCCCCACTTTATTCTTGCTCTTGTTTTTGTCTGTTTTCAAGTTCTGGTAAAATAATTTTTTTAGTTATCAACGGTACCAATACCAACGCCCCCCTGGATTTGGACCTGTCCAAACAGCACCTTTCCAAATATAAAGATGGATATTGCAGTATGAAAGCGTTCCCACACCCCCACTCCCACCCCCACTTTATTCTTGCTCTTGTTTTTGTCTGTTTTCGAGTTCTGGTAAAATAAATTTTTTTAGTTATCAACGGTACCAATACCAAATTAACTGGTCTTTAAGAAAGGCACTTTCCGCAGCAAAATGGAAAATTTAGTCGATGATCCAGAGGCATTAACGAAGAAGATGCATTAACGAAAGAGATGCAGAGGCATCTATATTTATGAAGAAACCCTTTACACGGCAAGACGCTTACAAAGATGCGTAAAGTATGACGAATACATTTCCTTGATGCGTAAAGTATGACGAATACATTTCCTTGATGATCATAAGCTAAAATATAAATGTAAATACTTACGTTTAAGCATCCAACCGTAGCAAGAGTAAAAATCAAACGTTGATGCCTATGATCTGAACGTTATGACAACAGGGGGTGTCATTACCACCATCTCGACGACGCCTTAGAATCATCCAGTATCCAACTGCCCCAATAGCTACGAGACAGAAAGCTATTGGGACTGCAACTTCCAGGTACATTGTGATCTTCATGATTTTGAAAGAGGACTTGCCAAGGTGCTCTCAATGGATGAAGATTAAAGACCATTTATAGAGTAGATGAAAGAAAGTTTTGCCCTCGGTCTTTGTCCTCAGTTTTCGCTTTTTGTCCTCAGTCTTTGCAAAATATAACAAATTCACTCTCAATATTTTTTTAACCATCCCAACCTTTCATTCTCTTCATTTTTGGTCACTAAATGATAGTAAATTTGATACAAACAATCAATTCAAGTAATCAAAAGGAAAAACATATAATCAATAGTTAAGACTGATAATAAATCAATAAACACAATTCGTTAAATATAAGTTAAATTGGATAGAATTAGTTCATATACATTTTATACACACAAATAGAATAGGAGAAAACGTAAATTTAGATTCTAATTAATTGAAAATTTTGATTGGAATGTGAAAATTTGTAGTATATGTGACAATCTATAGAGAATTTATAGAAAAATTTTAAAAAACTATAAGGATTAAAGGTCTGATAAAAGACGCAAAGGAAAGAGTAAGATAAAATAAGAGAAAAGATGGAAAAATTCAAATTTATTGTGGTTTTTGGTGGGGATTAAAATCAAAATTTTAATAAATTTTCGTACAAGTTAAACAGTTAAGGATTCCATGAAATATGTCATTAAAATTAATTATTAACTTTGATTTGGATTAAAATTTAGATTTCAATCGATGACAAAAGGATTTTATAAAAGCAAAAAAAATAAAAAAAAAGTAAGTTGGAATCACCAGGACCACCGGGTCAATAAATAGCTTAATAAATAACATTGACGAACAAGGGGAAACGCAGACCATGCATTCATTTTGTGTAATTTGAAAATTAAAGGCCAATATTTTCACATTAATTTGTTGGCCCTGTATCTGATCGTCGGATTCAAATGAAAACTATACAGTCTATTAATCACTGGAGTTTGAAGCGCAACATGAAACTATTATATTCAAGAGTCATGCTTTATGTATAGAAGAAGTTTTCACAGAATTCTGTCAGAATACACACATAAGGGTGGGTAGGGTATTTTTTGGCAATTTTTTTTCATGGTGAGCCCCACATCATGAGACTATTCTAGCAATATTTTGTAAGAAGTTATTCTGTACATATGAATTTATTCTATATTCAATAGATTTACGAGATGTAATTAAACTCCAAGACTTTATTACTTATTTTTAGATAATCAGATTTTTAGTAGCTTTTAATAAAAATTTCACAAATTTTTCATAGCTGCACCAGTTTTGTACAAGGAAGGTTTTCACCTCATGCACTATCTAGGAAGCAAGTTTATCTGACGTATCAAAGTATGTCATCATTTAATTCGATTTGGGTTGAAAATTGGTCATACTTTATCTCCTTTGCCTTTATTTTACAAAGATGGCGTAACCAATACACTTTAATGCATGTGAATGTTCAAGTGACAATACATGTAATATTGGTGATTACTTGTTCTTTATTTGTTCTTCAATAATATCCTCATTTTTTTTATTTTTTTGGTTAAAATGCACTTTGAATGTGTTTTTATTTCAAAGTCAAGTTTATGCGTACATTAATCATGCTATGGCTCTATTTGAGTTTTCTTTTTTCCTCATCAAAATGAAAAATATAACTGCTATCCATCACATTAAGTGACCATATTTAATTTTTTATTTCTTGTGTGGGACTCATAACGACTACGTTTTTCATTCTCATTTTTATAATAATGTGACTCAAAATGTATTTATGTTCTTTTTTACACTCTACCAAATGGCTTAATATACACCATTATTTTGAATTTGAAAATTTCATCACGATACTGCCGCCTCCACATTGGGGGATTTAAAGTTGGATGTAAATCAAAGTGTATATTTAGCTTTATTTTGCATACATTATGGATAGCTGACAAGTTTACAATCGTTACAAAAAATAAAAAAAATCAAAATTTAATGCTAATGAGCATGTTCGAAACCAAATTTATTCAATTGATATCTAGAAAATGAGGAAAAAACAATGAGAAACTATTTAACAGTAATGAATAAAATGGATAAAGACGAATGTGTGATTAGTTTAATGCCAAATTTTTTTTTAAACTAGATAGTAACTTAAATAGTCACTGAACTTTGCAAAAGGTTTTCACGGGGTCATTGAATTTTAAAAATCACGCGAGTTATTACTAAACTTTACAAAAAAAATTTCCCGGGATCATTGAACTTTAAATATCACTCCATTCATCACTAAGCATTGCAAAAAAATTTTACGGGATCATTAAACTTTGCAAAAGTTTTCCCATGGATCACTAAAATTAGTGACCCCCTTGTTAACGGCGCGTAAAATGGCCAACAGTAGCAAATGTTACATCTCGTCACGTCAAAGTAGACCATTCCAAACTAGTATTTCGAGAATTTCGATAACATGCTAACTTTAGAAATTCTTTGATGATCGTATGCTAGCCGAATCCACAAATCGCTTATGTCCTCTCGAAGCTCATTTTGAGAACTACTTCGTAGGCATGTCGAATGATCTAAACAGATATTGAAAATAATTAAAAATTTAAACATGCATCTTAAAAAGATAATAATTTTATAATCAATATTTATTCCAGACAATCATTTTCCTCAGACATGACATTTCATAACAAACGACAAAACTGATCTACGGTGATCGACAAATGAAAACTCTCTGGACTGCAATTTCCTTTTTCAGTACACATTATCATATGCAAAAGATTCTATGCAAGAAACAAAGTTTCACATTTTTCTGTAGGAGAAAAAAAGGAAAAATTATTAAATACGAAGGGCTTTTTCTCATTTTCTTGTTCTTTAGCCCGCATGTGATGTGTCTATCTATCAGAGATTTTCTACTGATTCCCATTTCTCAAACACACTACTAGTCATCCCAGTCATTATCCCACCCATCTTTCTTAGAAGACCTTGAAGTGAGGCCATTTGCAGAGATACTCCTAATATTGTGCCCCCCCAGGTGATTTTACTGCACTGTCGTCGTCCCAATCATCATCATCCCAATCCTGATCCCAACCTTCTGATGTCTCACCGTTGACAGCTGAAGTGGATTCTGGCAAGCCCATTTCAAGTTCCTCATATGGAATTCCATCATGCCTGCTCCTCTTCTTTAACTTGCAGCAAGCCCATGTCCCTCCACAAAGCAAAGCCAATAGAAAGAAGAAGTACGCAACATAGATAGGGGTCACCTGTCTAGAACAGAAAGAGAACTGCTGGAGAAAGTTCTCTACAGAAACAGAACTATCCATGTCAAGCACACAATTCCCGTTTCCAGACCTTAATATTATTTTGCTGCTTTTGCCTCGGGTGGAAGAGATATCAATCTACGAGCAAACAGGCAAAGAGGAAGTGGTGAATTGAAAAGTAGGAAACACAGCGTAGAACTCATATTATGATCTAATGTCATCTGGCAACATCAAATAATACGAATATGAGTCATTTCAGGGCAAAGATTGTTAAAATAACAGTTCCAATGAACAGTTCAAGAAAATAATTCACTGATTGAAAAGATTTTATAGAATCAAATGGCAAAACTCACATGAGTGATGTTTTCCCCCCTCATTTCTTCATTTTCTAAATGTATGTATATTTATAAAAAGAGTAATGATGTTCATCACTAGTGTTGATGATCATGACCCAATGTGGCAGTGGGGCCACTGCAACATTGCCTATTTGAGGAAAATGTGAGGGTGACCCTAGCGTCATATTGAGTTATGATAATCAGCAATGCTAATAATTAGCATTATTATTATGAAAAATATGACTATTAATGATGGAAACAAGGAACCGATATGACTATTAAATTGCCTCGAATATGTGAAGAGAACAAAAAACAGCCGAGAAACTAAAATAGGTATAGAGTTGTGGTCTACCCCATGGAATGTCTATCAAAGTATTGACATTGTGTCTTCAGCCTTGGTTCAAAAATCAATACAGCAGACCCACTTTATCCTAAATGCAAGCAGTTGGTCAAGTGATGTTCATTAGAAACTAAGCACTCTTCTCAATCCAAATGAACCACATAATAGCCATAACAGCAAATTTCCATGAGTTTTTTTTTACCATCTTAACCTCTGAAACCACCAAAATTAATGGGGACCTAATTTGAAATTCTGGAAGTAGACAAATAATATGGTTCAATCATTTTCTAGATGTACGTATAAAACCTAGGTGTCAGAATCCTTGCAAGCAAGATCAATCAGCAATGACCAAAACTTCGGCTCTGATAGCTAGTTCGCCATGCAATTTTAGTGCTAGGTGATAATATTTAATGCATTCCTTACTGGCGTCATTGTTCCAGTAGCCAGGAAGGCATTTCTTTATTGCTTTAACAAACCAAATAGCTCAATAACATGTGAACTTCAATGGCCAGCAAAGCCAATATGACACCTCTTTATATCATGTAGACACATTGACCCAGAATTTCTTGAGTTTCTAATTTTTCTCCAACTTCGGTCCAATCCCCAAGATTATAAATGTTAGCATAAATATTCCAATTAATGCTTTTGCTTCAAGAAAATTTTTACTTTAGACAGTGGGTGTGCCAAGATCTAGCAACAGATTAACATAAAGAAAAAAAAAAAAAAGAAAGAAAAAGAAAGCAGTTTTGTCCTTCCAATAGTTCACCCTTGACCATGATATATTATTACAAGTTCTTTTCCACTCTAAATTTTCTCATTTTTTCCATTCAATTCATTTATAAGCTCTCATGCCATGTTAATTTTGGTCTGCATCTCACCTCTCTGTTCTCTCTTCTTTACCATAATGATTGCATAATCATGTGACCGAGAGTTTCTTTAGGTCAATGCAATTATCAATTTTAAAGTAGTCTTTCACTTAATTTATTCTTGATTTGTTGCCCTTCTCAAAATATACTCAATTCATAACCTCCCCGCCTATGTATATCCTCGTTTCGATTAATGTTCAATATATAGACATCTTGTTTTTTAAGGAACCATATTGAGACCATAAAGTGTAGCTAGTCTATAAATGCAAATATTTTTTGCAAGAAAATGGAATTTCTTAGAAGGAGCAATTTCAGTCTATAGTTCCACACTGGAAGAGAAATAATTAGAATTGCAGTTCCTTAATTACGGGTGAAGGCAACAAGTACACTTTTATGAATGTTCAAAATAAATTTCCCACGCCACGTGATATTGGGGGATGTATAATACATAAAAGAAGTTGCACAACAGCAAATATATTTATCCACACCTTTTCAGTTTGGTGTTTAGGAACTTCAAAAGCCGGCAATCCAATTTCCATAGAATTAGGAAAATTGATGTTAACTTTCAAATTCCTTTCCCCTTCATTTTGCACCGAATTGAACAGTTCTTTGGACCCTGCCAAAACAAATCAAGGATTTATTTCTTCTAATGACAACAAATGTGAGTTTGAGTAGAGTAATTAACCCCACATGTACACTGTTTTCCCTTAAATTCAACTCTTTACATTATACTTATAGAAGTGGAAGGAAAATAAAGTACATTTCCATTTTTTTTTCTTCACAGGGAACTGAGTGGAAGAACCTCCCCTTCCTTTGTTAGGTAATGTAGCAAGAAGGAAAGGAGAGGTTAAGAAGAGTACTCCTTGTTCTTAAACGTGAGATTTTGTGTCTAATAGCAGTAACCTGTGTAGTCAAAAAAGTAGGCTCAAATCAAACTCTGAAATTACACATACTTTGAGATACCAATAACTATAACCTTACTTCATTCAACCAATCCCGTCCTTTAAGTTGTCCCAAAAATTTAATCATATTACATGGAAAGGTGGCATTTCCTGATCGGAAAAGCAAAGGTGTAATATAAAACTTAATGATGAAATTAATGTAGCGTTATCTCCTAGCAAACATTTCTCAGAAGTTCTAAGCACAGTTTTTATAGTCAAGAAAGGTGGTAGAGCTTGCACATCACAAGCAACACATAATTTAATTGCATATTTCTCCAGCAACTAAAATATTTAAAGAGGCAATTGAACATATTTCAATAAGCAGCTGTGCAGTAATATCTTAACAGCTTCAGTTGACTTCTGATATATTTCAAGTAGATGTAAATAAGCCCTAACAGAAACAAATCCACGATTTATTACATCTTTGGTAGTACTAAGGTAAGAACTAAGGTAGTACTCTAGAACATAATATAATACCTCAGTATTAAAATAGAGACTGAAACCTCACATGGAAATTGACGAATATGACAGATGACAATAATATGCAAAATGTTTGATCCAAGTACACATCAATGAGGAGAGAAAGCATCAGTGGCTCGTGTTTGTATGTGCATAATGAAGAAAGTATTTGACTAGGCCAACTGAGCCTATGCTTGAGATTAGTTCTGAATTTTCCGTAATGGACCTATCCATAAATGTAGTCAGCACAAATTCTGACAGTCTCATGTCCTTGAAAGTGTACAGGTCTATATTATAGCTTGTCTTAAGCTATGAATCCATATTATTGATTAAAATGTATGTATGATTTTGTAAATTTTAGCACCCAGTGGAATGCAATTGCAAGCCTCAAGCTACCCTTTTCAAGAAGTAACAGTATCACCAAAAGAATTGCAAAATTTGAAATCCTTATTAGTACAATATAGTTTTATATTTCAAGTTATAATCGTTCCAATCATATTCCAGAATCCAGGCACAAAAAATAAATCATGCTAATCAATTTAAAATAATAGGAACCGCAATTTAGTTCTTTCAAGGTTCTAATTAAAGCATTAAGTCAAAGTACTGGCTTGTAAATCAATTGAGAGAATAACTATCGTCTGAATAGAAAACAAGGTTTACCATATTTGGAGGCTATAGCGCAGGCAATCATCCCCTTGCCTCTGCATTTCCTCGTTGATCTCTCACAACTGTCATTACCACCTAACCGTGTTTTCATGGCATTGTCCACCTTTCCCTTCCCTTTATCGTCCAACTCACCTTTCTTCGTGCACCATCTGGTTGGTTTTTATTATTATCAATATCATTGCCATTTTTCTTGAAGCCCTTCGAATCAACAATTGATGAATTAGTGTTCTTATTGCTAACCCCGGATTCCTTGTGCTTATCTTTTTCACACTTCCCGGCATTTACAGGACCAATGACAGGACTTACAACGGGCGGAACCTAGATCCAACTCGTTCCCAATCAATTATTTAATTTTCTCAAAATAAGAACTTATAAAAATAAAGATAATCACAGAGAGAGAGACGCAAAGAGATTTTTACCTGTAAATTTGTGGAAGTGTCGTTTGTGGCGCTGGTGATTAATCTCCGGAGATTAATTATTAAAGATGCGTTACTAGTGCTTGAAACAATTAATAAAATGAAAATAGTGGCAATAAATCCATGTTAATCCATTGCACAACTTCTTCTGACTTTTATAAGCTACTACTTCGATTATTTCTATCAAAACGAAGCTAAAGAACTCATTTTTCAGCAGACATTTGGCTTTATTTGCTTAATTCATCTTTTGACTAAAAAGCTTGGACTCTAAGAGAAAAAAATTATAAATCATAATACAAATCAATTTGGGAATTTGGCAAATGATTTGAGCATCTAACTATAATAGGGTTTATGCGCTGTGGATCTGACAGGGAAGAATATGTAAATTTGAGATGATAGTGAAGGTTTTTGCTGACTTTTTACTTAAATTTTAGGGAAAATTGTAGCTGCGGTCCTGAACTTTTATATTTTTTTGCATACTTTTCCCTAATCTTCAATTTGTGTCACTCACAATCCCAAACCTTTCAAAAATATGCACCTGAGTTCCAAATGAGTAGAAACCGTCCAATACTCCAATTGACCAATTTTTTTATTTTTTTATTATTATTTGAGGAAATTTTACAAAATGTCCATTTTTACCTAGTCATTCGCAAAAATGTTCACTATTGCAAAAATGTCTAATTTGAAAGAATTTAGACCAAAATACTCTTATTAACAATTTATAATTCCACAGACAAAAAAATGGTCATTTTTGCAATATTATTATTGGCCAATATTATTTTGTAAAATCAAATGCTTAGGCCACTTTCACATAATGGAGTTCTAATATCACATGATTTGCATTTGTTGTTGGAAAGATCTTCTCACAATACCTTAACAAACCACATGATTTGTATTTGGAAGATGGTTTGTTATTAATTCATCAATTGATTATCCCTGATTTCAAATAATATGATTGATATTCCTTTTGATTTATTTCTTCATTTTGCTAATGTTGTGTTAGTCATTACAATTATCACTTGCTCTCTAAAAATTGAATGACCTTATTAAGAATAGGCATCAAATGGCCAAGAAAACTCAGAAAAGAAAAGAAGAGAAGTTTGTGAAAATTGTTAATATTTTGTTTAGTTGCTTATGCTCATTTTTTTCTTACTCTAATGTTCGGCAAGCTGCTTTTATCTTAGGTTACAGATGAAGAGAAATTCTAAAAGACGGTTAAGTTTTCATTTTCCAAATTTCTTTTGGGTTCAATTCAATTTTCTGGTTGTTGACAAATTAAAGAAAAAGAGTACAAAAAAGGTTGCATGATTTTTCGATCTAAGCATATTGATTAGTCAATTATACCTTGAGTGATCCTTACCCAACTAATTAGTCTCATTACTTAACTGAAAAAATAGCTTTCGCGAGATTGAAATTTTAATTTTTTTAATTATGTTATTTTTTTTAACCATGGGGATTTATGCGTTCAAATCTATTTTCTAGGTTTTATTTATTTTAGTTAATTTTAATGATTTATTTATGTATGGTGATTACGGATTGCAACAAGAAGCAACTTTCTTCTTTAACATGAGATATATTGAGAAAATGGTGAAATAGGGGAATGAGAAGAAGTGAAAAGTTACTTATTGATTAGACTGTTATCTCTTCTACTGATGCCAAACATAGAGCCAGAGACTTGCAAGTATAGCATGTAAGAACATCACTATAAGGATACAACGGGGTTTGTGGAATTTTATTTTTTTGGGGACATGTATTGAATTTTTAAGTATATCAGAATTTTGGATCTCGATTTTGTATGAATATTATTACATTTTGGAGTATTAATAATGATTATTGGAGTTATTTGATATTAATATCTTTTATCTTGTTTTGTGGTTGATTTGTATAAATCGCTCTACAAACCAAAAAATATAATATTTAAAAAAATGTAAAATAACTACGGCAACTGTCAACAAAATGTTGGCAAAAATAAAGATAATTATAGACAACGGGCAAAAAATGTTACAAAAAGGTTATTTGCAAAACTGAAAAAATATTGCAAAAAGGTTATTCGTAACGTTCAAAAAATATTGCAAAAAGATTATTCACAATACTTAAAAACGTTGCAAAAGGTTATTCACAACGTTCAAAAAATGTTGTTGTATCCTTTTACTCTATGGCAATATCGAGATTTGCAACATACGTTCGAATGTTGCAAAAGACCTTTGGCAATGTTTCTTAAATGTTGTAAAAGGCTTTTTTTATTGTAGTAAAATTGCTGGTCTTATAAGATGCATCACGTTAAGTTCAACGTGGGGGATTTTATGTAGGTTGTTTTGATTGAAGACCGTTTCCAACATGGAATAAACCATATGTACCGAAGGGGGGGTTACCGAAGCGTGTCCCCCCCCCCCCTCCCTCACAAACACGCAGGCCTCGCATGTATTTAATAAATGTCGGCCGTGGTCCCTACTTTGATGATGTGAGTGGGATGTAAACAATTGTGTAAATGATTATGTACGTATAGCACGGTCCTTCCAACATATATCTTCCCTTATGATTGGACTAGTTGAGATTATTTAAAAGATCAACCCAAATGCCTATATCGTTTGAAATTACCTAGGCACATTCATATTGTTGATGTCTTTAATGTTAAGCATTTAGTGCCTCTTGTAGTTGATTATTCTGATGAGACATATCTGGATTGCAGGATAAATTGCTTTGACCTTGGGAGGTCACGGAGTGTGTAGGATATTATAGATGCATTGATGGTTTGTTGGGGGAAGAATTACGCCTAAAACTGCAAGGGGCTCGTCCTGAGCCCAAAGGATCTGGTCCATCATCTAGGTCGGTCCAGCCTTAGGCTCAGGCGGTATTTTATTTTTATTTTTTATTTTTTAATTTTGAGGGCTTTTCTTTCATTTGATGATTCACTAGGTTTGTCGGATTTGTTTTATTATTCTACGGCTTGGTTGGTTTGGAAAACATACTTGTGTTCTTGTTTGGTATTGCAATCAAAATTTTGAGTTTTCGTGGGAATTTTTGTATTCTTGTATTGATTGTCATTTGTGTAGGTGCAATCAACATCACGGTGGAAGTGACGGTGGCAGAATCGGGAGTAGGAGGAAAATGAGGTTTTTCCCTTTTTAATTCTCTTTTGTTTAATACTTTTTTATTTATTTATCTTCTTTTAATTATTCTATTTTAATTGTGAAAATATGCAGGGACCATTTTGCTCATAAGAAAGAAAAATTTACCATCTTTGGGATCTATGTTGCTCTTTTCTCTATTTGATTCTATACATAAGACATAAGATGAAATTCATTTTATTTAATTTGCCTAGTTAACCCTTCATTCTATGATACATAAATGGAAAAAAATTCGGATCAATCCAGTATTTTTCTTACTTAATCTTAGGAGAGTTGCTAATAATGATCATTCCCAATTTTTCGTCAATTGATGACCTTTGGACATATTTATATCATCTAGTTTAACAAATATTTGGGATTGGGGGTACCAAAAACGCCTTTAGAGGATCTATTTGAACGTCCTTATATTACCTTTTTTTACAAACACTTAGGACAGTTGTGTCAAATACAAAAGGTTTGACACCTTGCAAAACATTTTTGAAAGGTTTGAAACCCCGTACATAATTTACCCTAGTTTTAATGAAGCAATAAAGTATAGATTCCTAGTAAACTCCTATTTAATTAAAAATTATCAAAAATTATACATGAAATATGTTCAAACTTTTTATCTAATATTTATATTACTCAAGATCGAAAATATTAATATTTGATACATGAAATTATAATATTTTATTGGGATAATTGCAGCTGAAGTTTTAAACTTTTTAAATACCAGCGGACTTTTTGCAATCTTTCATTTATTGCAGTCGTTACCCCAAACTTTTCTAAACGTTGCATTTGTGGCTTTTTTGGATGGTTTTCATTCAAAATATTGTCAGTTGACCAGTAAAATAAAGCACATTTATGAATCATAGTAAATAGATTTCCTGCATCCAGAAAATAATATCTGATACAAAGTACAATTAAATCCTAATTAATGCTAATTGACATATAGAAACCGAATAAATGAAGATTTATAGTATCTATATTTGGATTTGATGTACTGGATTGTTTGAATTATTAATTTCTTCAAATGCATTTATGTTATAAATGAAATGGTTTATTACTTCTTGAAATTAAAGGGGGGAAATTGTAATTTTAGTCCCAAACTTTTGGTCAAAGTAGTGATGTTGTCCTTAATATTTTTTGTCTAATTTTTGTCAACAATCTTTGAAAAAATATCTTATTAAGGACCTATTTAAGGGGGAAAAAATGTTCCAACCATAATGGCAAAAAAGGGAAAGGCCAATTTTACAGTTGACTCTTTATTAAATGACCAAACAAAAGGAGAATAAAAATAAAATAAATAAATAAATAAACAAGATTAAAATCTGAAAGGAAAATTTTCTTCCACGAACATCCTCCTCCTAACTTGTAAGGGGGGAGGGCGGTTTGGATTTTCCATTTCACTACCACATGTGGTGGCATGCGTAAAATCAAGGGGTTTTCCTTCCTAGTTTTCGCCACCACATTAGGGAGAAAGAAAAAACTTGGGGAGTTTTATGCTAAGATATTTTCCTTCGAGTTACTTTTGATGTTGGAAATCAAATATTTCTCTGTAGTTTTTCCAAAAATTTAGTCGAGAGGGAGGGTAGTTGGGGTAGCGGTGGGTTTATATCTTTTTTATTTTTTAATAAAATAATTTAAGATTTTTGTTTATTGTTTTTATAAAAAAACAGGAGGCAAATAATGAGTAGACTAATTTGTCCTTTCATTTAAAGTCATGGTGTTAGTTGACTTGACTTGATGCCTATTTTTTATGGAATCCGTTAACATGTCATTAACCTGTTAGTTTTTGACGGTTGGAGATAAAAATAAGATGAAGGAAAGACAAGGGACAAGATTGCTAATTTTGACCAAAGGTTAGAGACTATTGTGTAATATAGCCTAATTTAAACGATATTAATAAATGTAACCACCTACCTAAATGTCAAAGTGATTCACCACATAAATAGTTGTGCTATATTTATTATTCGTCAGCATAAAACCGCTATATATAGTGCGTCTCTCATTGTCAAAATCATTGTGCAATTAGAATAGATTCGGTATTTTTGAGTCACTCATCCTTCAAGATTGCGACCCTTGAGCCCATTATCTGTTTCAATCACGTTGTCTTTTTGTAGTGATAAAGAATTTGCTCTTAGAGATGACAACAATTGATGAAATTGAGGAAATTCTGAAAAGGTTTGGGGATGAAGAAAGCACATTGCTGGATCGATATGAGAGGAAGTCATTCAAGGTGCAGCTAAAGCAAGCCATGATAGGGAGGAGCTTGTCGGAGCCAAGCTACCAAGCGCAATCAAATTTGGTGTCAAAGTCAATTCAACAAAGGCGGTGTGGGGGCTGGAGCCGAGTTTGGGGTATTCATATGGCGCCAAAGAAATTTCTAAAGCCTAATCAGAGAGTAACAAAAGATTTCCTCACTGTAAAAGGGAAATATCATGACATAAATCCCTCTGAAATTTAGGGTGTGAGTACTTGATTTTGATTGTCATGTACTTTCGCTAAATAAACATTTTCTTTTGCCAATTAGTGGTTTTAATTCCATATTAGACTACATGCATTTACAATGTCAAATATAAGGATCGAATAGGAATTTATCTCATGCGGACAACTTTGCATACCAACGTGATGTTATTGAAAAATTAAGTTGAAAATCAAAAGTTTTAAGTGAGAGACCAAATATGATAAGAAGAAAGTATAACAAAAAAAGCTGTGGATAAATTCCAGAGAGCGGGCAGACGACAAACCGTGCCATTTGTGCTATTCATACTCAATTTTGGTGACTTGCTACTGCAATAAGAATGAGATAAAACAAAGCGAAAACTGTTTTGAATTGTATGCTGGAAAATATGTTCGAACCCATTCACTACATTGATCAATTCATTCTGTCAAAATGGAAGATTGCTTGATTTCTATGAGGTGTCTAATATAATGACTAAAACAGGATGTGAGCCAACAATCAATACATATAATTGCTTGGTGAAGGGGCTATGCTACGTGGGAGAGTGGAGGAAGCCTATGAATTGCTATGAATATCAAGAAATCTTTGATCAAACCAGATATTTATGGTTAATACTGTGATGATGGATGATTTTTGCAGAGTGAACAGATTAAATGGGGCATTGGAATTTCTTGCCGAAGTTTTAGAAATGGGATTGACACCAAATGTAGTCACTTACAACACTCTGTTTAATCGTTACTTTAAGAAGGGAAAGCCTTTGGATGCTATTGGTTTGTCGAAGCAAATGTAGGAGAGGAATTTGCAAGCCGGATTTCACAAGTTATAGTATATTGTTACATGGAATGCTGCAATGGGATAAAACTAATGCAGATGTGGGGATCTATAAAGAGATGATCGGGATTGATTTTCAAGTCGATGAGAGAGTGACAAAACACTTTGTTGAGAGGGTTGTGCTGGAGTTCACAAAAAGACGATGCACTGTTGTATGATGTGTATGAAGCGTTTGTGAAAATGTAGCACAAGGATTGTGCCATCTACTCTTGTACATATGATCTAGTGATTGAAGCCTTTTGCAATGGAAAAGAGAATGATAAGGCGTCTGAGATTTTAGACTAGAGATGACAGCAGGATTCCATTCAACATTTTAATTCATGGGGTTGAACAGATAAGGAAGGTCATTAGAAGCTTGTAGTGTATATGGTTTAGCGGTGAAAAGAGGGTGGTGCCACAGATAGAGACTACAAATGTTAGCCTCAACAAGCATTCAAATCAGTAATACTCATATGATTAGATATTGAGGATATGATTCCTGTCTGATCTCTGTAAAACTTCTAGTGTAGCTAGAACGCGTATGCACGACTAATAGAAGAAGTGCATATTCAGTACATAAGACAATATAATATTTTATATTTGTTCTCGAAAAGATGCATCTTCAATCTGTTTACTAATAAAGCCAGAAGCCCGTCTACAATGAACAGCCATAGAACATTTTCTTGAATCCACATGGGAAAAAGGGTCTTTGGATGTCCAAAATAGTTAAAGATGGCAAAATCTTCTACTCAGTACAAAAATAATATACATCTAAATAGTCTATGCCCGACTCATGTATTGCCCGGTTCTAGTATCCACCATTATTTCTTGGCTTCTTTTTATGAATAATGGGACAGTCACCACAGCACCCGTATCAACAGTTGCTGGCTTAGATCCACCTACAAACGATTGACAACCACAAATGATGATTAAAAGGAACAAGAAGCCAAATAGGTAGAAGCATGTTACAATTGCTAAACATAGGTTAACGATCTTTCATCAGGCACATATGGCGCTGATTCATATCTTGTTCACGCCCTTTTATTTTTCTTCAACTTGTATTTCCATCCGTCACAAATAAAAAGGGCATAGAAACCAAGAGACACATTAAAGTACCTTGTGCTGTGTCGCCTTTTACACCTAGATCAACTTCAACTACAGTCAACTTTACAGTTATAGGGAGTTCAAAATCAACAACCTACAACAAAAAATCAGATGGTCATTTTGAGATTGTATTCAAAAGGATTTTGCTTCCTTAGGTAACAACTGACAAATTTTAGAAGGCAAGCGCCAAAATAATTATTATAAAGCTTGTGATTCAATCAGAAAAAGAGGTGCGAGAGTCGAAGAATACTTTTCCCTTCCAGAATAGCAAATTGCAGTCCATGTCTTCTTTCAGCCACTTCGATTTGTCCCCAACATCCTTCTCGTTGAGACGGAATTCTTCAAATGAACTCTGGAATATATCATACAGAACCCATTAAAATTAGGAATATGACTAGCCTTCCAGTACCACTGCATGTTAATTACTAAAGAAAAGCACTTTCTCTAGGATGAAACCAGTTTCCTCAAGTATATTCCAGAGTGAAAATAAATAAAACAGGAGGAGGAAAGCTACTAATCTCCACTGTGATAGTGTATACGAAGAGAAGAATTAGATCTATTAAGTACCATTAAAGTACCAAATATATGAAAGAACTATTTGCCTCCTAATTATCATAATATTTAGTCTGAGAGCAGAAAATGGTTTCAAATGGACATGCAACAAACGTATAATTTGAACTCGCAATCTCTGTCTGAGATTAAACACCACAATGCATGTGCCCTTATGTTGGTCCAAGTGCTTATAAGTTGCGGGTCCTATAGAATATTTAGATAATAAGTGGACAGTAAGTTATGGGTCCTACGAAATGAGTAGATAAAAACAACTTAAATTAGAGTTTAAGAAAAGCCAAACATAGCTAAATGTCATCAAACTGCTTCTAATGTAAAGATATCCTACTTCAATGGTGTTTTACTCCTTCCAACAATTGAACAGCATGAAATTATCTGGCAGTGGAATCTACCATCTTGCTCTCTGCAGGCTAATAATATCAAGAGAATTTGAAAATGTTAATAGGGCAGAGGTGTAGCTTAGCATATGAGTGAGCTTTTTCACCACTTTTTTTCTCTATTCTGTGTGTTGATAATGCTTTGACAGTAACCTTAATATTCTCAAAGTGGATTAAATTTACCTGAAAAGTGTGCCTACAATTGACGCCATCATATAAAAATTAAGACAGAAAATAGCATACCAAGTCCATAAAGGCGTACTGGGAACCATCTTTGTAAGTATTGTTTGGTTTCTTTGAATGTATCTGCCTCGTCAATCTGTCAAAAGAACAGAGAACAGAGAACAGAGAACAGAGAACAAAATTAAATATAGGAATGGCCGATTGTACATACAATTGGATCATCGTATAAGATTCGTGACAAAATAATACTCATCCAAGATTGGACACATGAAAAAAAATTACATTTTATGATATTACAGTTTCCTCAGTGAAGCATCTTACCTGTGTAGCATAAAGAAATATATATAAGAGACTAAACATGGATAAAACGAAAAGAAAAAGACTTTCCAGTTTAGCAGAAACGACACTTTTAGAACCCAACTGAGGAACGATTGACTGCCCCATGCTGTGCTTATCTCTTTTTCAGACCAAACTCCCGTAGTTATCGTCCCCTCCTCCCCTTAATATCTCATGAAGTGTTAGGCATTGGGTGATCACTGTATTAAATATATTATATACGGCTTTATGAATTCATATTACATGATGACCTGAATTCACCAAATTTCAAAGTTCTTATATACACCATGTTCATATACCATTAATCAATTACCAAACATATTCACCATCTAAACAAAAGCATCCATTACCGACTGGTGCCTTGTTTTGAAACCATGGCTGTCAACCATCTAATTTATACTGAATCACAAGAGATTGTAATTGGATAGATAGAGTTCAAGATGGAGGCAAGCCACCCAATACAATCTTTAGATGTCTGTAGTTATGTGAAGCAGTGACCAATCTAGTTTGCACCATGCATTTAAACTTTCCACCAGTAAGTATGTCAAGAGCCTTACGTGTCACTTCAATCTGCCCACAAAAAACAATCTGGTTACCTAATGAATGACATTCTTGTATTGTAAATATTATGCTAGACGAACTGCCGAATCGGAAAAATTGGGTGCTATCTACGGTTCCATTGCGTGACACCCTCTAAATAAGTAGGAAGAAACAAAAGCACAAAATTCAGCAGCTCCAGAGTGTTACCTTACTTCCAGCGCTGAAAGTTTTCTCGACTTGATTTCCTGTCAAGTAATTGCGTAGCGTGGTCCTCACATTTGCTGCCCCTTTCCCAGGTTTCACATGGAGGAACTCTATAGACTGCTCAAGGCATCATCAAGAACATTGAGACTGACAAGTCTCTCTTCATGTATCTCTACTTATTCATTTTGTTGATTTAGTGGCATCGCTATCCTCATGGCTACTTGTCCAATTGGCTGTATTAAAATGTTTTGATCGTCAACCATATGATATTTCTGTTTTTGTTGGTGTCCTTTGAATTTGTATCTGATGGTACGTTCTACTTTCGGATCAAACAATTCTAGATTGTCGACTTGGGAACAAAGCAGAAAAGAACACCCTTTTATTTGAAAAAAAAAAAGTCAAATAATAATAAAAAAAATAATATAAATTAAGACTAAATGTAAATAGTCCTTGACAATAGCATAAAAAACTTGTTGCTTTATTTTATCGCAAGTGTATGATATCGTAACAGATAATATAGTGGACTTTGAATTCGAATTATTGTTCCTGCGAGGACTATAATTTAAAATCTAATTTAATATTTCAAACTTTTATTTGATGAAGAAAATAAAGAATTGTGATTTGGTGATTTTTGATCTAACTAATTGAGAATATCAAAATTGCTCACAAAGATCGAATTGATGTTTCAAATATGGAATGGATATTAGAGCATAACAATTCATCTATTGATCACATTTAGGCCTTAATTCAAGATAGTCTTTGATCGAATTCTTCTATTGTACTCAATTTATCATACTTGAGTTCTCATTAAATCTATTTAACTAATTCAATCACGTATCTTTATGCGAAACAATCTTAGTTAAACCCACTAATTGTTCTAAAAACCCATATAATGACATCAATAATCATATAAGTATCTCTATATGTTATACTAAATTATCGAATTTTACTATATGGTATAAATCTAAAACTCACATTTCGATTTGTAAAAGATTACAAAAACATTGAATTATTGATCAAGTAATTCAAAGCATTAAATACATAAATAAAATCAAAATATAAACTTTTAAAGAACTAGAACTTTGAATAAAATAAAGGGTAATTAGTACAAAACGTTCCTATCTTTCATGATTTTTGTGGAAAACGTCCCTGCCTTTTATTTTTGGCGCATTGCATCTCTATCTTTACCTTTTCTTGTGAAAAACATCATTTTCATCATTTTTCTCAATAAAAAGTTATAAAATGACTAATATATCATTCTATTTAAATAAAAAAAATAAAGAACTAATTGCAATCATAGTTTCAATTTTTAAAAAAGTTCAAAAGAGGAGGTGGAGGTAGAGAATTTTTTTATTTTTTTATTTGGAAATACAATTGCATTTAGTTCTTTATTTTTCTTATTTAAATAGAATGATATATTAGTCATTTTATAGCTTTTATTGAGAAAAATGATAAAAATGATGTTTTGCACAAGAAAAGGTAAAGGTAGGGATGAAATGCGCCAAAAAACGAAAGGTATGGACCTTTTCCACAAAAATCATGAAAGGTAGGGACATTTTGTGCTAATTACCCTAAAATAAATAAAGAGTCTCAAATAAATACATTGTTTGCCCTAATATAGAATTTAACTATTCATAATGTATAACGAAAATAAAATATTTTTATTGAGTACATCATTGAATTTGTAGAAAAAGGGATGAATCTTGCTCCTAGATTTTCTTCTTCCAATCTTAAACCCTTGGTTTCTTGATGTTTTTCTCATTTTACTCGCTCTCTTGAATTTCAAGTTGTGTTCTTTGTATTTTAATGTGTGGAATCCTTCAAAGGTGCCTTCATTCCTCTATTTATACTTCCCCTAATGTTTTTGTTGGATGTGAAGTTTATACGGGCTTTAAAAATGGCAAAAACTAAAACTCGCACTAGATGACAAGAGGAGCGCCTCGACGCCTAATGTAAGACATCGCATCATTTTCTTGGGTGGTGCTTGGAATAAAATGAGAAAAACGCCAAGAAATCAATGTTTGGGATATGTCCATCAACAGAACGACACAAGTGTCGTTAAACGTCATGTGTGTCGTTATATCCATAAATACAAGTATGAGTAGTCACGACTCGTCCGAGACCCGATATTCGATATGTTGAACACATTTATGTTGCAAGATAGACGTGTCATTTAAAAAATTTGAGAGATGTACTGATTAATTATATTTTTTAACAAATGTCAATCATGATTTGTGATATCACCCCACTCGATATCGTATAATATATGTTAATCCTATCGATATTTGTCATATAACTAACATTTATGACTTTCTTAAATTAGGGGGTACAATGCTCGAAGTCGTTACAGTGGAAAAGAAATAAAAATATTAGAGAAGTCAACAGAACGACACAAGTGCCGTTAAACGTCACGTGTGCCGTTCTGTCTATAAATATGAGTATGAGCACTCAAAACCCTTCAAAGCCCGATGTTCGATAAGTTGAACTTATTTAAGTTGTAAGATGGAGATGCCATTTGCAAAATTTGAGAAATATATTCATTACTTAATCAAAATGAAAAAGAGAACAGCGCAAATGTCATTACTGTTATGAAATCGATATAAGTGTCGTTACGTATATAAACATGATATTAATAATTGATGCAGTGTATATTTTGAAATTAGTCACTATTAAATAAATAATATTTAATTTTTGAACATCATTTTTATATTTTACATAGAATATAACGACTGTAGTGTCGTTTTACACCAATCGATGTCATCGTTAAATAGTTGCTGACAGTGCAAAATACATCAAATGCGAAAATAAAATTAATTAAAATATTATTTCATACTATATTTAATAATAAAAGTACCAATGTACATGAGATTTCTAAAAATACATTTTTTTTTCTTCAAATTTAGTAAAGATTTCAATGTACATAATACATAAACCAAAATTCTTTTTCAAATGTCCAAAATATTGGAGAAGATAGGTGAAGAATATAATGAATAATAAGATTTTAGGGTAACAAGCATGGAGAGAGAACATGATGCATTTTGGAGACAAATTGAGGAATTTGATTGAATTGAAAGGGGTGTTTGAGTATTTCCCAATGTGAGGGTGTTTAGTACATTTAATATTATTTGTTTATTGTATTTTATAATTAAGGGTCATTTGACCAACAAACATTGAAACAAAGTTATTTAATCAAATACACTGATTGACTAGCTATTTAACAAACTCTCCCAATAGTTAATAATGTGGTCAAAATTATTTTTTTGTCAACTAACGAAAAAGAGGATGGACTCCAACTGTTAATTTTTTCAAATGTTTGAGATTTTCGCTAGTACAAATTGAAATTTATGGTAAAGTCTACTAAAAATTCAAAGATTTAGGATCCTACTAAAAATTCAAAGATTTAGGATCACTGCTGCAATTTCCCCTATTATTTTTCATCAAATGTTTAATCAAACCTATTTTCTAATGCCAAGTGCCACTTGAGTGCACATGATTTCGTTCATTTTTCATGGAAATAAAAGAAACAATTTTTCAAATTTTTTTTCACGTAATTCCATTTTAATTATTTTTATGTTTGCGTTCTTTGGTAATTATAGGAAAATTAGGATTGAACTCTCTCATTTTTCATAAAGTGTGAAATCAAATCTCCAATCTTTAGAATTGAAGTTTTAACTCCCCAACCTATTCAATCTTGTGAGTTTGGATCACCACCAGATGAAAATTGTTATTTTGAACATTATTTTTTTTAGGGAAAAAAAAACAAAAATTTAACTCTTATGACCTTACTATAAATTAAATATGAAAAGACTAAAAAACAAAAACCAAAAATTAAAATTAAAATTAAAATTTTAAAACATACATCCGTTGAACAAACAAAAAGGAAAGGAAAAAAAAAATTCATTTTGATTTTGGTTTTTGGTTTTTTTTTTTTTTTTTTATTTTTTTTTTTTAAAAAAAAAAAAAAAAAAAAAGTTAGCTTTCTTTATAAACTTTTAAACACTTTTTATAAAATTATTTAAACATATTAAATATATCAGAATAAAAGATTTCGTCAGATGGAAACTGAATCTCACAGTATCAAACAAGATGGAGAGTCAAAACCTTCCTTTTAATAGTTGAGGGACCAATTTACACTTCATAATATAAAATGTTTGGGAGTCCAACCTAATGTCTCCCAACATACAATGTAAATCTGATTATTTATTTATTTATTTCAAGACTGTACGCCTTTGCTTCTTTATTTATTTATTTAGTTCATTCTGAATAACTTTTACTATCACAACATTCACAAAATAGAGTTCATCAACAAGATCTAAATCTTGCAAATACAATTTCTCAAATTTTTAATGAAATATAATAACCAATTTGGAAAAAAAAGGGACAGAAACTGCTAAACTCCCGAACCAAATCAACCGATTCTTAGTTCAAGAATCAAGATAACCAACTTACCGATTAAAAAAAAAGAAAAAAAAAGGATCAAGATAACCACCCTTTTTTTCCCACTTCCTCAGACAACTGGACTAAACCAGTTGACAAGTTCCATTTCGTTTCAATGAAGTTTGACGTGCCTAATTAGAGAGTCCAAACAATATAAGTACATTACAAAACTTGCTGGATTATCTATTTAGTTCAGCGTAACAAACATGTCATCAGAGTCCATTTTCAATGTCTAACTTACCAAATGTGCCATTAGTGTCTATTACGTATTTTAACTAAGAATCAATCAGAATAGGTCTTATTGACTTCCCTAATTAGAGAGTCCAAACAACATAAGTACATTACAAAACTTGCTGGATTATCTATTTAGTTCAGCGTAACAAACATGTCATTAGAGTCCATTTTCAATGTCTAACTCACCAAATGTGCCAATAGTGTCTATTACGTATTTTAACGAAGAATCAAGCAGAATAGGTCTTGTTGATCTCATGAAACAATCTATGGAGATTATAATAGACAATGAAACAAATGAGAAATATCATTCAATTCTATAAGTAATCACATCATCACACACAACAGAAGTGAAAATACAGTGTTACAAGACCAGAGAGAATGATCAATTCTCCCTGCCATTCACTGGTCAGGTTGTAGGAAAAATAACTGCATCAAAACCACATTGGTACATCACCCTTTAACGAAGTAGTTAATACACGCATGCACAGAGAAGGTAGAACTTGTCATGTTAGAGATCCAGCATACACAATGTCAACATTTGCTAAGCAGCACAGCCTCCACAGACAATTCCCCTGCTGTACAAAGAAATTGAAACCAGAATTTAGAAAGAAACATGCGAAGTTTTGAAATCATTGTAGAAGTAGCAAAAGTTGGAGTAAATTTTGAAAAAAAGTGCAAGAGTATGTTATTAGAATGTCGTTTTGTGTAAGAAAATTTGTTTAGTTTCTTGCCTGAGCTAAGGTAATAACAACAGTTGGGCCCGCTTGGCTAGAATGAAATGCCCCTATTTCAACTTAAAAACTCTTAACCGCAAACTAGTACAGATACGGTCTACTGTCAATCAACCAAACTCCTTTCGACCCCAACAAAACAAAAAAAAAAAAAAAGAAAGGAAAAGAAAAGAAAAGAATAAAAAGAAATTTCATGTGTAAGTTCCCATTCATGAGATTTCACCCAAGAGATTTAATCTCAGTGGCCCTTTCTTTACAAATAAATAAATAAATAAATACATTGAGAAAAAGATCACTAGCGAGCAAATATCCTAGTTGCCAATCTATCTTGAAGACAACATAACATACGAAAGCAATGATGTGCAACTTTCAGATGCAGTTAAAAATTTATGTAAACATAATGCCATTAACTCATCTCATCGAGTTATTTTTCTTGAATGGAATATGCCCATAATCTATCTCTTTATACTAATCATAGCATCAGTTTCTCAATTTGGAAATTATGTTACTATTTCAAGTGCCATGCTGTCAACTGTCAAGCAAACCATGGGTCAATTTAGGATTAGTGATAGTCGGAGCAAACTTTGGTAAATGATGCTTCCTTAAGATTTCTGAGTTAGTACCTCAATTCACATTCATAAATATCTACAATTCTTCGGCAGTGTATCAGAAACAAGCGCAAATTATATAGAATGCAAATAGATTAGCAGCACTCACACAATCGAGCAACCGGTGCTCCTATCTCTCTTCTTCCTTGGAATCTCCTTCCTCCTTGGAGGTTGAATCACAATCTTTATTGCAGTATCGAAAATAGCTTTCACATTCTAGCAACAAGTTGAGTAAAATTAGCTTTGGTAGGATAAAATCTTGTTAATATATAATTTTCTGAAAATTATTCCGAATGCAGGTTTCGATATAGGCAATCATCAAAACTCATATATAACCCCCACCTGCTGAGTCTTCGAGCTGCATTCTATATAAGCTGCCGCACCAATTTGTTTCCTCAGCTCCTCCCCCTATAAATGAATCCAGATTAGCTGATACCATATATCAAGCTCAATTACTTGATACAGGGAAAAGAAAACATCAAAAAACACTTCTCACCTGGGCAGTTGTAATGATGTTAGATCCCATATGATCAGCTAGATATCCTCTGTCTTCACGAAGATCTGTAGTTAAAAGCAGATAAAAAGTTCGAAGGTATAATCAGGAAAATATCCGACTGCTTGAAACCCAAACAATCATTATGAAACATTAGATTGTAATTGAAACAGTTCATAGCATACCTAACTTTGTTCCAACAAGCACAACTGGAACATTAGGCGCGAAGCGACGAAGTTCAGGCATCCACTGAAATGAAAATCAAACCGAATTTCATATGTAATTTTTAGGCCAACTCATTAGGAAATGCTAGCAGCAAACTTGTTCACCATAATATGTAGTAGTTGATAATATTAAATGAAAAACGATTTAACATTTTGTCATTCCCACTGTTTAGTCTTGTCCAATACTTGATGGTGGCCGACATGCTCTAAAGGCTGAAGGAACCATCTTTTAAGATTTTAGTGAATGAAAGTATCCCACCTTCTTGAGGACATTTTCATAGCTGGCCCTACTGATTAAAGAGAAAGCCAATACAAATATGTCAGCACCTCTGTAACTCAATGGCCTCAACCTGCTATAATCTTCCTGACCTTTAAATTACACAGATTAAAACAATTAGGAAATAACTAAAGCCTCTCAAGAAACCCTAAATTGAGAACAATATACATATAAAATAATACCTGCAGTATCCCATAGTCCTAAGTTGACAATACTGCCATCTACAGCCACATTAGCACTAAAATTGTCAAACACTGTTGGAATATAATCCTGCCACACGTAAGAGACAAGAATGAGAAAAAAAAAAAAAAATGGGCAGATGTAAATAGATTAAGAATCCGTGACTGACTAAGCCCTAATCCCTTCTCTACACTAGCAATGATAAACATGATGACAATCGAAAACCAGCATACACAGAGTTAGCTATCAAGATTGCCAAATTTTCAAAAAACATAAAAAGAAAAAAATTAAAAAGATTCAAGAATACAAAAATTAATGCTGCAAAAACCTACAAAATTATGAACTGATTATCTTGAAGGATTTGGATAAGAACCCACAAAAATGAGTGCCTGGGCCTGGGGAAATTGATAGCCAAACTTAAAAAACAGAGATTTGAACTCTTAAACTCACAGTTGGGAACTTGTTACTGGTGTAACAAATGAGCATGCAGGTTTTGCCCACAGCACCGTCTCCCACAGTCACACATTTTATGAACTTTGAAGCACTCATCCTTCTTAATATTTCAGATTCTACAGCAACCTTTCTGCTACAGCGCACTCTTATTTAAGTGCACAAAAGGTTTTCTTGGTTTCAAGCTATTCAAGAAAAGTATAAAAGAAAGAAAGAAAGGGTAAAAACGAAGCGAAAAAGAGGAGGTGAGGAACAAGAAGAAGGGTATCCAAAAATGGTGAAGGAATCAAGAAGAAAGAGTTGCATATAGAAAATGAGGCCCCTAGTTTCAAGAAGAACTACATTAGAAAACAAAACTACAGACAGGTTTCTGTAAGAGAAAGTCAAAACACCGTCACATTTCATCCCTCTCAATAAATTTCAAATCAACAGAAAATTTTATTTTTTGAAATGCAGAAAGCTTTGGTGGGACCCTATTTCTCAAACCGCTCGAAAATGGGACCCGATTCTCAAACGGCTCCAACCCAATTTTTGTATCTTGGATCCATTCGTCAACTGTTACCACTGTTTGCATAATTGCATTTGGCACATATTTCGCTCATTGCATATGTTTAGGTATTCTTGATTAGGCAAATTAATGAATTGAAAATAAACGCTTCTGTTGATGTATTTTAGTCCACACCAGCATAGTGGGGGTGTGGTAACACTCTGTATTCTAGCCCACAACAAGTCCTTTGGGCAACAACATAGGTCTGACTTTCGGTATTACCAAACCTTCATATAGGATCATATAATCAGTAATACCAAATTTTCTGATGCAGAGGATCCTCAAAGAGGCAATTGCAGAGCATACTTTTGATACTACTTAGATCTTACTCTTACTTATTCATTCTGAAATTTTCACAGTTATCAAGACTATGGAAGAACAAAGAAAAGATTTTAGAAAAACATTGTTAAGAGGAACAAACTTTTTACTAGGAAGAGCTGAGCTCGAGATGATCCTCAATGAAAGATAAGAGCTCCTTATATAGAGGAGGAGCCTCATCATACAACCGATACAACCGATACAAAACTAATAATACTACCAATGACTCATCACTTTTAGTACAATACTTATTACACAAGGTCATGACTCACAACTTAAAAGGACATAACTCATCATTTTACTAGCATGACTCACTACTTTTAGTACAATAATTTTACAACCATCTTTTAAAAAGTAAATAAACTACTTTTTAAAAGGGATTTTATTGCAAACGACAAAATGATTATTTTACACGAGCTGTTGAGTCATCAAGGTGTTCCAAGATTTGCTTCTCGTCCAGGTTCATTTGAATCATCTGAATCAGAGGGGAGTCCATGTTGCTTCCACCAAGGCCAAGTTGTAGTGTCAAATTTTTCTTCAAACAATTTTTCTTCCAATTTTTCAAGAGTGTCTGGGTCTGTTGGATCAAAATCATACGACTGTGTTCCATAATCATATGGATCTTGAGAGTTCTGGAAAACACTGTCATTATAATTTATTTCCGTGTTCAAATATCTTGAGTTTTGTTTGTCTGGATTGCTTGATCCTGGTTTGTCCACGTCCATTTTATCAATTTTCATTTTTTCTTGAAATTCATTCCAGAGATTATTACGCAATTTTTGTCCTTCTGGTGTGGTTTCTGGATATTTAGATATTTCTCCAAGGCATTGATGTGGCCTTCCCAAGTAAAGCTGGTTCCAATGGGTTTTGTCACTTTCCCAAGTAGCAGATGGATAGTGTCCAAATACTTGTCCAAAAATTTGGCATTGTCCTTCTCTGTGTTTCTGAGTGTCTTGCTGAATCTTGGTTGCATAGTCTAGAGGTAGAATTTCCCATGGAGCATCATCTTCTATGTCTGGTTGATTTCAGCCATTTTTCTTTGAAATTCTCGAAACTCCTTTAGATACCTTTCCCAATCTTGATGGAGATTGAAAGGTTGGACTGCATACTCCTTGACATAAGAGAAGTGTTCATAAGAACCTGTTTCTGTAAAATATCCTTGCCGTTGGAAAATCAGAATTACAAAAACATTGTTTTGAAAAGTTCTCAAATCTCTAAATTTTAAAGAAAATGCTTCAAACATTTTTATCCAATGAGAAATAGGATAAAACCATTCGAAGAATTTCTTTGCCTCAAGATGTGCTTCTTGAAATGGATCATTTTTGTTAAAGCTTCGAAAAGTGATTTCTTTGAACCATTCAAGAGATTCACAAACATTAAAAGAAACTCCAATTTGGAAAAGTTCCAATAAGTACCACAGAAAACAAAGTAAGTCCTTTGAAAATCTTGATACTGCTTGGTGTGGGATTATATGGAACAAATTAAAAAATGGATAATCCGAATGAAATCCAAGACCAACAAGAGTTTCAATTCCTGTTTGCCTGATAATAATGGACTGGTATTTTAACATGAACTCTTTGGCTCGGGAATGGAGGGTTTTGTCTCTGACGAGAGTATTAAGTTCTGGGGGAATTTGTTCATTTTGAGAAAGCAAATGAAAGGGAAGGTTTATCATACAGATTACAGGGATAGGTTGGGAGTAAAAAGCTTTTGGTCTGGTGAGTAGGTCTGGAAGGAGGTTGGTTTTTCCCTTTATATGTTTGACATCAAAGTCAAAGTTTGAAAACCATCCTGCCCATCTGAGTAGTTGAGAATTTGGAATTTGTTTTTGTTTGAATGAAAGCATTTTAGGGAATGCTGACATGTCCATTTCAATAAGAAATTTGTGTCCAATGAGATGAAACTGAAATTTCTCAATACCACATTTTACCGCCAAGATTTCTTTGAAAGTGGAATGATAATGTTTTTCTACTTCTGAGAATACTCCACTTTTGTATCCACAAATGTTTCTTTTTCCATTTTTCTCCTCCAATAGAACTGCTGTCCAATATAGATCACTTGCATCAGTTTGTAAGATCATTTTTTCGTTAGTAGGGATGGATAGAGCTGGAAGTTCTTGCACCTTTTATTTGATTTTTCGGACTGCTTTTGTTTGTTTTGAAGACCACGGTGGTGCATCTTTTTTCAACATGTTTTGCAATGGTCTGATAATAGGAGTTAAATGATCAACAAAATCGGCCATGTAATTTACAATCCCAAGGAACTGTTGGACTTCTCGTTTAGAGAGATCTGTGTCTGCAAACTTTAACAATTCCTGACCAACATGTGGTTGTAAAGAATATTGACCATCTTTAATATGCATGCCCAAGAAATCAATTTCAGAGACTCCAATAACCATCTTTTTCTGAGAAAGCATTACTCCAAATTGTTTTGTCAGATCAGCGAATTGAGACAACAGTTGAGAATGAGACTCGGCATCTTTTGAGAACAAGAGAATATCATCAATATAGATTAATGCTGACTCTAATATTGGACGATAAATTCTTGTGATAGCCTTTTGGAACAATGAGGGGGCCGTCTTAAGACCGAATGGCATAACCGTCCATTGATAGTGGTAGTTTGGGATACAGAAACTTGTCTTATGCCTTTCATCTTTCATAATTCCCAATTGCCAAAATCTCGCTTTTAGATCAAACTTTGAAAATATCTGCGCCCTGGACAGACTGACAAATAAAGTTCTTTTGTTTGGAAGAGGGAACTTGTCATCAGCAAGGAAGTGATTCAATGGTTTATAATCAATCACAAGTCTCATTTTTCCACGAACTTGTTCACTTCTTTTGTTGACATAAAATGCTTGGCATGCCCATTGAGAAGTGGTAGGTTCAATGAGACCTTTATCTTGCAATTGGCTTAACTCTTTGGTTGCTAACTGGAGGTGTTCAAGACTCATTCCAATATGGCTGGCTTTAGTAGGGTTAACGTCTTCATTTCTTTTGAAAGGTAAGGATATGAAAAAATCTGGATTTTTCCATAAAGGGTGAGTGCATTTGGTGAGAAATTCTGTGCGAGAATCTGCACAACATTCTTGGATTAATAGGCTTGTTATATCATCAAGGCTGGTTATGGAAAAATATGTGGTTGGCTGTATGTATGACAAAAAGTAGGACTTGTATCTAAGGCCATTTGGAAGAGGAATAACACGTTTTGCCCACAATTGTCGAATGATGTCAAAACCGATTACAATATCCTTTCCTGGTAAAGATGATCCAAGTAACTTGTGTGAGACATTACATTCAGGAAAGAACTGAAGTGTCACTGGCTTACTTATCAACTCTGTTGAAAAATACTCATTATTGGCTGCCTGGAATATTTGCTGATGTGTTTTCCACATGTCTTTGGGGAGAATGGCTGGATTTAAGATTGAACAAGCTGCTCCAGTGTCGAGCAGACCTGCAACTATGATTGGTCTTTCATATTTTCCTGGAAATATTTTGACTTCAACCATCGGAACTGGAAGACTAAGATTGATCACTTGCATTCCATAGCATTCCTCTATACTATCATAACCATTAGTGCTCTCATCATCGGAGTCAAATTCCAGTACGAAGATAGTTTTAGGAGACTGCTCATCTTCTTCAGAAAATACCGATTCAAGGTCCGCTTCTTCTTCCACTTTTGTTGCTGCATAGATTTGGTGTAAAATTTTCTCCTTCTTTTTGTTGGTACAATTTTTTGCAAAATGGCCCTTATTTCCACAGATAAAACACCTGTCTCCCTTTTTCTTTGTGAATTTCCTTTTAAAATATCTTCTTCTTCGAGGAAAAGATTTGGAAAATCTTTTGTTCTGAAATTTGAACCTCATTCTGTGGAATTTCTTCTTTCCTGGACAATCACAACTCTTGTTCTCATGTCGGCGCTTAATCTTCAAATCTGGCTGATCACATGCCTTTTCAAGCTTCTGTCCTGTTGTACTAATATCCTTTAAAAACTCTCTTTGATTGCAGAGTTTTTTCAAGGTTCTTTTGACCCAGTTGTGAAGCTCTCCAAATGAAGTGGTTCCCAATGATTGTCCTTTTATTTCAATCATTCTGAGTGTCTCTTGACCAAGAGGCTGTGGGATGGATTCTAAGTAAGCCTGCTTTATATTTGTATCGTCCATTCCACTAATGAGATAGAATCGCCTAGCAGCATTGTGGAAATGTTTATCTAGATCTTTAGGATTGTAAGAACAACATTTCAATTTGAAGAATTCCTCTCTTGCAGTATCCTTCAAATGATCCGTCTTTCCATAGAATTCCCAATCTAATAATTCTATGAAAGCATCTATTGTTGGGGAATTAGAATATTGGGTCTGGCGATATTCTGCAAGAGCTCATACCAATCTTTTAAGAACCCAGTGATTCTTGCCAGAAAAGATTTTATGACTACAGAATGAGTCATATTTGGCCTTTGTAATTCTGCTAAACACCATGCTTTCATTTCTTGAAATCTTGCTTTCCACAAAGCTGGAGGAATATCATCAAAAGGAAATTTGGTTGCTGAAGTACTATTTT